GTTTTTAACGTTTTTAAATGTCTTCAAACATTTTAATGTTTCAAAAACAACCTGGGCTCACCTGAGCAGCTGGTTCTGTCAGATGGAAGTTTCTCCTCAGGTGTCGGTTTGAAACTCTCCTGATTGGTCGTCAGGTCTGCAGGTGACAGGATGTCCTTCAGATGTCCAGTTTTCTCTGAGCTTGAGTTTCTGATTGGTCCGTTCACACCTGGAAACAAAGCCACCAGTGTTTCTACCTGCTCAGGGAGGAAAGGAACTGCTGATCGTCCTGAAGCTCACTGATGACTTCTGACTCCTGGAGTCAAAGTACTCATCCTACTGGTCAAATAATACTCCAGTAAAAGTAAAAGTTTTACTTTACATATTTTTGAAGTTTTATTTGAGTAGAGTCAAGAAAATTGGTACAATTTTCTGCAACAATGGTCCCTCCAGAGAGAAGTTCACAATAAAACCAAGACTAACAAGGATCTAAACACAGAACTGCAATAGTTCTGAAACGTGTATATTATACCTATACCTCGTGTCCTTTAAGGTAAAACTAGTAGAATAAATATTATATTTTATATTGAATATAAATATTATATAATATTTTTCCAAACCTTTTTCAGGAGCAGTTAATTTCTCTTCACTGGTGGTTTTCTCCAGCTGCAGAGCCTCAGRACCGCTTCGGTTCTTGGGTTCTACGTCATCGTTGAGCTGGTCCAGGACGGCCTMGACGATGGGGACCATCATGGCGGTGGTGGCTGTGTTGCTGATCCACATGGACAGGAAGGCCGTGACGCCCATGAAGCCCAGCATTAGTCTGGAAGAAGGAGAAACTCTTGACCRTGTTCTAGACCAACCAGGATCTGTTTCCTGTAAAAATCCTCCAACAAAAACCATCTGGACCAGGGGACTCACAGGGCGGGCTGGACTCCGACCAGCAGCAGGACTCTGAGAGCGATCCGTTTGTGGAGGTTCCAGTGTTCCACAGCCACYGCCACCATCAGCCCGCCCACAAACAGCATGTTGGTGTCCTTCAGGTACTGCATGCACACCTGAGCAACAAGTCAGACATGTTTTAGAGGAAAAGGCTGAATCTGACTGGCTGACACTGATTGGTCCAAAAGTATACCTCAGTGACCATTAGCACTGAGCTTCCAGACTGGTTTATTCTAGTTTTATAGAGGGGTTTATGGTTATATAGCTGCACATAAATGTTTTATTTACTGATGAATTAAAAGATGTCAACAACAGAAGACGTGTCCATCCAGACTTCCATGTTGACATGACAGAGTCTGACTCAGAACCAGAGTCTGATCCAGAGCCAGAGGAGACCAAATCGTAGTTGGRAAGTCCAGACCTTATTTGGAAGTTCCYTCACAAAAGCTTTGARGTAATAGTTCAGAAAACATTGTAGAAAATACAGAAAACTGAAAGGMTTGATAAAGTGGTCCTAGAACAGAACCCTGAGGTATTCCACAGGGTAGATCAGTGGTGTCTGTGTGTCCGGTCTTACGTTTCTGGACTCCATGATGCCCAGTGCGGGGAACAGGATGGTTGGCAGCAGCGCCGTCACCGCCAGRGGTAAAACTTCAGTGCACCAGTACACCGCCATGAGGGCGATGACGTAAGCACAGGCCGCCTCCTACAGGCACAAAGAAAACACTTCAAGTCTGGAAAAGACCTCATCTGTACAGGTCCAACCAAACCTGAAATCCTGGAACAGGAGTCATCCAACCAACCAACATCATACATTCATCATCCAACCATCATCCAATGATCATCCAACCAACCAACCAACCAACCAACCAACCAACCAACCAACCAACCAACCAACCAACCAACCAACCAACC